GGTTGGCTGTTTTTGTTTTTGGTTTTGGTTTTGGTTTTCATTTTTCGAGACAGGGTTTCTCTGTGGCTTTGGAGGCTGTCCTGGAACTAGCTCTTGCAGACCAGGCTGGCCTCAAACTCACAGAGATCCACCTGCCTCTGCCTCCCAAGTGCTGGGATTAAAGGCATGCGCCACCAACGCCCAGCTGGTTGGCTGTATTTTTAAGACAGGGTTTCTCTTTGTAACAGCCCTGGCTGTCTTATAACTCACTCTGTAGACCAGGCTGACCTTGAACTCACAGAGATCTGCCTGCCTCTGCCTCCTGAGTGCTGGGATTGTTTTGCCTGCATGTGTGTGTGTCTGAGAGTTGTCGGATCCCCTGAAACTGGAGTTACAGACAAGTGTGAGCTGCCATGTGAGTGCTGGGAACTGAACCCTGATCTTCTGGAAGAGTAACCAGTGCTCTTAACCAGTGAGCCATCTCTCCAGCACCCAATGTATAGCATAGCCCGAGCTGGCCTCAAACTCCTGCTTCTACCTCCTTCAACAAATCCTACTGGCAAGCACCACACAATTGGCTTGTTTTATTCTTTTTTTTTTTCTATTTATTTATTTATTTTTCAGTTTAGATTTAGATAAGAAATAAGGCTGCTTCACAAGTCAGTTCCAGGTCCCTCTCCCTTTCCCTCCCCTCCTCCCGTGCCCTCCCCCCAAGGCTTGTTTTATTAAGTGAGGTCTTGCTGCATAACATGGATGACCTCAAGTATTCCTCCTATCTCTGCTTCCTGAAGAATAGGATTACAGGTATGTTCCACCACACCTAGCCTGGATAATTTTTTTATGAAGTTAAAAATCCACCTATATAGTAACTAAAAGACAATTTTCTTTTTGCATGTATGCCTGCAGGCCAGAAGAAGGCTCCAGATCTCCTTATAGGATGTTTAGAAGTCACCATGTGGTTGCTGGGAATTGAACTCAGGATACCCCCCAGGGATTCTTCTACAATTGAGAATCCTTAGCCATTTACATCATCAGCGTCAAATCTTAGACGTTACACACTCAACAACTGATTTTCCTGACATATTGCATATCAATTAGTAACCTTCGTTGTAATGCCTACACCATTCATCTCCCTATATCTCTTCATATAGTCATTGTATCAACTCAAATCACCACACAATACAGTAAGATTGGTTGAAAGTGAGACCACATTCATGTAACTTGGTTACAATAGTCTCATGACTACTGTTATTAGTGTTAGTTGCTAAATTCTTTTTGTGTGGTGTTTATAAACTTTATCATATGTATATATACAGAATACTATGCTATGTGCAGATTGTGGCATCCACAGGGGGTCTTAGAACTCTTTGCAGCTAGGAGATGCTACTGTATCTTTTTTTTTTTTTTTTTTTTTTTTTGGTTTTTACGAGACAGGGTTTCTCTGTATTGTTTTGGAGGCTATTGGTCCAGCTCGGCCTCGAACTCACAGAGATCCGCCTGCCTCTGCCTCCCGAGTGCTGGGATTAAAGGTGTGCGCCACCAACGCCTGGCGCTACTGTATCTTTCAATTCTAAATTAGTAGAACAATTTAGGCTGATCAGAGGAGCCTTTGAGTCTTTCATTTTATTTAGTTTTGTTTTGTTTTTCAAGACAGGGTTTTTCTATGCAGCTCTGGCTGTCCTGGAACTCCCTCTGTAGACCAGGTGGCCTCATGAACTCAGAGCTCTGTCTGCCTCTGCCTCCTGAGTGATGGGATTAAAGGCGTATTACTACCACCATCAGCAAAGGCTGAGTCTTAACCGCCAATCACAGACACATTTTTATTTCCTTGATTTTTCCAGAAAGCTGACACTCTGCGCTGTATCCTGGAAGATGCCTCCATAAGGGACCTTGGAAAGGGCTTTCTCTGCTTATGAGGTGCACCTAGTAAAGGGTGGCACTGGAGCTTGAGGAAAGTCCTGGATGGAAAGTATACCCAGTTAGGAGACATGTCCCAGCTGCGAGAAGGAATTCTAGCTAAGGGCATGTCCGAACTTTGTGGGGAATATTCTGCTTCAGAAAGATGTGTCTACAAGTTTCAGAGGGTATGCAGGGGAGACTGCCTTGTTGGGTGGATGATCCAACTGAAGGGAAGTAACTTCCTGAATAAGACATCTGTTCCCACAAGAGGAGGCTATTCCAACATGGAGGAATGTACCAGCTGGCAATCCACTCCCCACCCCCATCAATGAGGAGACAAATGAATGCTTTGGTTAGGAGAATATGTCTGACTGGGACCTGTGCACCAATAAGAAAAGCCACTTTGATAGTGGGTGTTCCCATATGTAGAGATGCTCACAGAGTGCGTCAGTTAGGTGTGCTCACCCTAGTTACCCCAAGTTCTGCTAGGCACAAGCTTCCTGTGTATAGGGCAAGGCCTTTCCTGCAGACCAAGGTGTGTGCCACCAACGCCCAGCTCCACGTGAACTATCCTAGGCCACCTCATCTCTATAAACAATTCTGTCTTTCCCATCTCTGAGTCTTCAAAAAAAGAAGCAAAACTGAGGTCTCGTCGGTAAAAAATAAGGAAGTCTTGAGTTTTGACAACCAGTCTAGACTCAGTATCACAAGGAGACAGACTCTGAAAAATGGTTCTGCTAGGTTGACCACTGTGTTCATACACATACAGAGGAAGAATTGGACAGTACCCAGTGAGTACCAAGGATTCTTTAGGACAGCTGAGTTAAGGCTATTTACGATGAACTGAGCCCTTCTGGAGGTCATGGGAAAGTCATGCACCCTCTGCAACTATGACCCAAACAGCCATCTTCCCCAATCCACCTCTCCACGTCACCTTTTCCCTGAGACCTTTTGTTTCAGATAACAGCTGCATAGCTTGCTTCTTTCTTAGCCTTTGTGCCTTAAGTATCACTGCCTCAGAAAAGCCTTACCTGTTCTCTTCACGTCTCATCTTTTATTCTGGATGTATTTTTCTCTACAGCCTCTCCCCTCCATGCTATCTCTTATTTATTTTGGGTGTTGCCTTTTGTTTTGTTTTGTTAAAGAGTCTTATCATGTAGATCAATCTGGCCACAAACTCAGAGATCTATCTACCTCTGCCTCCAAGTGCTGTAATTAAAGGTGTGCACCACCATGCCAGGCTCCCTGTACTCTTTTTTTTTTTTTTTTTTTTTTTTTTTTTTTGGTTTTTCGAGGCAGGGTTTCTCTATGGCTTTGGAGGCTGTCCTGGAACTCGCTCTGTAGACCAGGCTGGTCTCGAACTCATAGAGATCCACCTGCATCTGCCTCCCGAGTGCTGGATTAATGTTGTTGTTTGTTTTTGTTATTTGCTGGAGGTTATTGTTGTGAGTACTATGACACACAAAACAGTGGTCATATACCATATGTCATATAAGAGTACAGGGAGAGCCGGGAGGTGGTGGCGCATGCCTTTTACCAGACAAATAAGATGTGACTGACCTGTTAGAAGGCCACAGACCCTTCCACACCCAATCTGCAGTTAGCCATAGTCACACTGTCTGCCTATCTAGATACTCCTGCTCTAGGCAGGTGAGGTGTGTCCACACTCACATCCATTCTGAGAGCCTGCTTCCCATTCCCATTTTCCAAGTGAGGGAACCAAAGTAAGGGAGTTGAGTGTATGCAGTCAGTCTGAGACATGGTGGGATTCAAACCCAAGCTTCTCTTTCAACTGTAGGCTGTACCTATTCCAGAAGGTTTTTTTTTTTTGGTTTTTCGAGACAGGGTTTCTCTGTGGCTTTGGAGGCTGTCCTGGAACTCACTTTGTAGACCAGGCTGGCCTCGAACTCACAGAGATCCGCCTGCCTCTGCCTCCCGAGGTAGCCGGGCTGGGCAGTGGTGGCTCACACCTTTAATCCCAGCACTCGGGAGACAGAGGCAGGCAGATCTCTGTGAGTTGGAGGCCGGGCTGGACTGACAGCCTCCAAAACAATACAGAGAAACCCTGTCTTGTAAAACAAAACAAAAAAAAAAAAAGAATCTGTGACCTACTTTCTGCCTTTCTCCAAGACCCACCCTTTCCACAGTATCAAATGAAATGTTGGCCAGGTATGTGGCTGCCCACTGAAAGACCATGTTGCAAAGAGTAGACAATAATGTGTTCCTAAAGACATTGGGGTGCAGACCTAGTTGGTTAGGTGATGTGAAAATAAGACAGCCTCTTAGGGCTCAGGGCAGAAAGCATAATTTGGGGATACCAACTGAGCACTGCCAGTATTCTACTTTCTAGTAGGTCTTGTTTCCTGAAAGTCTGTGATCTTGTTGTTGGTTACACAGGCAAGGTGGCCACCCACCATGCCTAACAAAGCTGCTCCCCCATCAGAACCAACTCCACAGTAACCGCTTCCAGTGCAAAAGTTACACACAAAGGACAACAGGCCAATGCTTGTTGCCAGAGATGTTAAGGAGTATGAAGGAGACTGTACGGTGCCTCTGAAATGCCGCTCCATGGAGCCCTTCTCTTTCAATCTTGCTCTAGGGACCAAGTTCATAGTTTCAAGGTCTTGTGTGTGCAACAATGCTCAGAGCTGACAGTCACCTCACGCCCAAGCAGGTTCCTGGCAAGTCCACGAATATTTCGGGTGGCCAGGCATCCAAGAACACCACCTAGAACAATGGTTTGGAATGCAAGCCAGACTGTCCCAAAGAACACCAGAGGGAAAATTCAAAATAAAAAAAATAAAAAAGGAAAGGAGTGGCTAGCACATTTCTATCCAGGTCACAGTCTCAGGGAATGCAGAGATAGGGTGCCAATGAGGTGAGGAAGGGGCTTGAAGCAGAATCTGAGGTAGGATTGGGCAGGCAGAGGGACAAGCTCTCATGTTGCCTTCTGAGGGGCGTGGTGAAGGGAGGAGCTCTGGTGTGTGGGGGGTGGGGCTGGGGTGTCTTTCAGAGGTGTGGTCAAAGGAGGAGCTTAAGGGGTTGTGCTCTTCAGGGGCGGAGTCTATACAGTATGTCCACTTTGAGTCTTAGGACATGAAGACCAGCCGCTTGCCCAGCTCTACAAATAAAGCGCTTTATTTATAGTCTCTCCAGGTCCCAGATCCCTGCCGCCCTACCCCAATCTCTGGAGAAGAGGACTGATTAATTCCAGAGGAGCCAGGAGAGGCTGGTCCATAGGGGTTGTCCCATCGGCTGCGGGTCCTGAGTAGCTGGGCCAGGTAGAGAGCAAAGGCACGAGGCCCTGGGCATCCCGTGCCAGGGCAAAGGCCAGGCCCACCGAAGAAGGTGGCAAGGGTTAGCTCACCAGGGTCAGCTCCCTGGGATCAGGCCAGGGTCTGTGCTGGCACCACAGCTCTGCTCATAGGACGGTGGAGCCTCTGTGGAGAGAAAGCAGGATCGACAAGGGGTTCAAGGCACCCTAATTTCCTCCCCCCAACCCCTGTCACTTCCACTCACCATAGGGGTAGCCCCATGAACCGTACTCTGGGGGAAGAATCAAGGCGCTGGTGGTGGCTACTGGGCCCCCAGAGCCTTCTGAGAAGTAGGGGACAGTGGCGCCTATAGAGATGCATAAGGGAGGGTGCAGAGAATGTCTAGCCGGGCTCCCAACCTGAGCAGAGGGATCGATGGTGGTGACAGACACAGAGCCCAATGTAGTTGACAGTGGCTGCTGCTGCTGAGAATGGCTCTTGGTAGAGAGGGAGACTGGGTCTGAGACGTGGGGGCCACTAGCCACTGCCTCAGCCTCTTCCTGGGGTGGTGCAGAAGGCACAACTGGGGACAAGGCCCCAGGAGAAGACCCTGGGCCTGGACAGGGGCTCAGTGGGGTTTGGTTCACAGCAATATTGCCAACAAAGAGCGGGAGAGTCACGGTGGCTTCAGGTGCCTTCATGGAAACCTGGAAAGAAGGCAGGTATTGAGGAGTCAGGCCAAGGTCACATAGCCTCAGGCCACCCAGCCCCGGGCAACACCAAACCTGTAGGTAATAGTCGATGTGGATAAGGCTGCAGCCAGGGAGGCCTGACTGGGGAAGGGCAGGCACCAGGATCTGTTCTTGCCACTGAGCATGCCTCCAGGCCTTGACCCCTGTACCCTCCACCTCTGCAATGGTTCGCACATCATAGATCCAGCGCTTGGCCTTATAGGATACCTTCTAAGGACAGACCAGACTGTGGGCTTGGGCAGACCAGCAACCCACCCCTCCTGTCCCATGGGAAAGGGACAGGCTTAGGAAGCCAGAGGGCTCTGACCTGTAACAAGCTGGCCACCACAGGGCTGGTGTCCTTGCCTGACTGGTTCTCAATGTCAGCCTGCAGTCGAAGCACCTGTCCCACCACATAGCCACGAAGGTCAGTGCTAGCCGTGAGAACCACACTGCCCGTCTTCACCAGCTTGTAGGAGAACTTCTTGGTAGTGGAGGCCACGTTGGGTTGCTTAAAGTGAAAATGGGGCGGAGCTTATGAATCGAACACAGAATGCATTTCTGTGGCATGGGGACAGGCTCTCAGCCTGTAGAGGCTGGCTGCCTGGTTTGAGAAGGCTGAAGGGAATAAATGAAGGAAGCCTCTGTTCCATCCTCACCTCAATATCTGGGATGGTGTTGAGGTTCAAGGGGCTCAGGATGTAGAACACCAGGCTACACTTGTGATCCTTGGAGAAACGTGGAGTATCGATGGAGGCTTTCACTTGGTGTACAATCTTCCCAAAGGGTCCCTCAAAAGATGTGGGTGCTGTGGCTACAGAGAGAACAGGGATTGGCAGGCACCTCCTACCTGCAGGTCCCACCATTTCAAGGCTGAGGTCCCCACTGGCCTTCCACTCACCAGGCAGCAGGAACTGAAAGGGGAAGTTGTGCTCTCCAGCCTGCAGACTTCCTACAGAGACAAGAAGGAGGTGGGAGCAAACCAGAGGAGATCCACAGTGGCCACAGTGCCAGAGCAGAGGTAGACACCGCAGTCCAGCAGTCCACACTACCGGCTGCAGCCCTAAACAGTGTGATCACAGCAGGAGCTAAAGGCTACGTAGAAGGGCTTGGTTTAAATGAGGGTGTGAGGCTGCAAATGTAGTTGGTAGTGTTTGCCTAGCACACACGGCTCCAGCTCAATTCCAAGGACTGCATAAACCAGTTGGGAGATGGAAGCAGAAGAATCAGAAGCTTAAGGGCATCGCCAGATAAATAACATAGCAAGGTCGAGACCAGCTTGGGCTACATAACACCGTCTCAAAAAAAAAAAAAAAAAAAAAAAAAGAATACATAAAGATTTTAAAAATAAAATGTAAAGCAGGAGGGTGGCTGAGGGTAGAGGATAGGGGTGAAACTGCCATACCAAGGGTCAGAGCCCACCCAGACCCAGCACCAGAGAGTAGACAGAGTGAGAATCCAAGAGACAGCTGTCGGGAGGGGAAGGGATAGACTGACCCCATTCCAGGCAAGGGTTGCCCCTGTGATCACTCCTGGCTCCCACACTCACCCTTGTCAGCCAGTGACAGGGAGCTGTTGAAGTAGCTCTCCTCCACCACCCATGCCCCATCGTTCGCCTTGTTGGAGACCCCACAGGAACCCATGCAGGTCACCCGGATAGCTGTAAGGGGAAGGGTGGCATAAGCCTAAGCTAGCTAATGGCCTAGGCCCCTCCCTGTTCCCAGCACAGGAAGTACCCATGGGTCAAGCAGCCTTACCAGCAGAGATGCCTGGGAAGACCAAGACACAAACAGCCTGTCATCTTCCCAAGAATACCTCCTGGTCATCCCCAATCCTGGTGTTCTCCCAGGGAGCCAGGCTGGCAAAGAAACTAATAGGCAGTGTTTCAACTGTCCTACAGACACAGTGGGAGGCCAATAATCTCCTAGATAACCCCTGGGCTACCCCCAAATTGGTTACCTCAGCCTCTGGCCAGACTTACAGAAAACCAGGCGCCCTTTGTTTTATGATGCAAATCAGTTAGGTCAGGAGATGCCCCTTCAGTCTTAAGAAAGCTAGTGCCAGCTCTCTCCCTGCAGGAATGCAGTCAAACTTGTCTGAGCCAGTCAGCAATCTAGCACTGGAAGGCCATTGCTGACTTACTTCCTGAGCAGCAGTGCCCAGGAGGCTGACTTTCTACACTATGAGGTAGCTGATCCTCCCCCACCAGTGGGAGTACCCAGAACAGGAAGCTCGAGAGACAGAGTTCACATTCCTCTGTCTAACAGACACATCCGGGGCCCACTGTGATCAGGTAGCCAGAGGTGAATGAGGAGGCGCAGCTGAAGCTGGTCACAAGGGAGAAGGCTGGGGCAAGGTGGGAGATAGATAGGAGCCAAGGAGAGGCACCCTGAAGTAACACCCTTCTCCCAGTAGGGTTGGGTCATGGTTTCAGCCCTTTACCCAGACTTATTAGACAGGGTCACGGGAGGGTAAGATTATTCAGACTCTTTCATCTTTGTGACAAAGCCACCAAGCAGGAGGAACAAAGATAACCAAGTACCTAGGAGTTGACCACACCTGCCTCACTCATAGTCTCCCTACATCATGGTCCAGGCATCCGGCTGGTACCCACAGGACACTTAGAGTTTCCTCTTACAAACCTTTGGCTCATCCTCAACCCATGCAGCTATGCACGTGTGCACTCCCTCACCCGATGGCTGCCAGCACCTGTTCCCACTCTCGAGGTGGTCCTGCATTCCTGCTGTACCACTCTCTGCCCCTCAAAAGTGCCAATGACTGTCACTCACCCTCCATGCCAGCCCAACCTTATCACTCTAAGCTCCAACCTGATCTGAAATTCACACACTTCTTCTGACATAGCCTTTGGGGTTAAACCACCAACTATTCCCACCCTGGAATCTGAACATCAGTGGCCTCTGAGAAGTTTCTGCACCCCGATAAGCCTCTCCACCAACGCAGCAATCCAAAGCAGACCAAATCAGAAAATGCCCATGTTTAATAGGTAAAATGCTCCAGATGATTTTTATCCCACAGAAGAGACCGAAAAACCACCTGTTTTCTGGGGGACAGTTTAAATACGCTGTGGGAATGGTCTTGAGCATCTCTGGGGGAGGAGCCCTGTTTGAAGGGCTTTCTGGGATGGGGCAGGGTTTGGAGAGAGAGAGAGATGGGAGATGGGAATTGAGGTGCAACTTCCACCAGAACAGCCTCTTTAGGCCAGCAAATACTCCTGAGATGACAGTGGTAAGAGGCTGGAGGACCCAAGATGCTTCACAAAGGGTACATCTCCCTAAGGATGACTGGCCCTACATCAGATACAAACACAAGTATGGAGGTCTTAGCTTAGTCCAGATGCTACCACAGTGCTATCAGGCCTGGCACACAGCTATTCAAATTCTCCATCCTCAATGAACGAGCAATAGCAAACTGGCTACTTTAGCTGTTCAGTGTAGGAGCGGTTTGTTATTTGAATGACCTTTTTGTAGCAGTAGATAAACTGGAACCAATACCCAGTCATCCTGGAAATCAGGGAAAACCCAGGTGACTTACATGTTTACTCATCAGAACGACAACTATTAGGTACTTTGACCCATGCTGAGGTGGGGATGGAGGAATGGACACTCCTTATACTGACAAACTTCTTGTGTTTGCACCCATACATGCCAGGACACCAACAGCTCTCAAATCCTACACTATTTCATCAGGAGTCTGTCATGGCACTGCTTATAACAGCAAGCAAGCATCCAGACTGGACATCCTACAGTTCAGGCCCAGGAGCATGGGACCACTAGACTCCAGAAAAACAAGCAGCATCCAAACTGGGAGTAGGGGGATCAGACCCTGATCTTCCCAATGCCAGGCATTTTCCCACACACCAGGGTTCCTGGGAGGACCCTGCCAGTGTGAACAACCTCCAGTCACCAAGGTGAACACACATCCTGTGCAGCTCATGGCTTGCAAACAGTATGCCTGCTGTTTCCTCAACAGAACACCTGAGGTTTCAGTAGGGTCACAGTCAAGGTATAAAAATTCCCCCCAGAAGATTCCTTAAAGATCCTAGGTTCACTGGCCAAGGACAGTGCCAGCCGCCAGGCATGTACCTTCTCAAATCACTGGAGCAGGGAAAACCACATAATACAGTTCTGCTTGAGAAATGAGGGAGCTCTGAGCACACTAAACAGTCTCTCTGCTGCTGCTGCAAGGTGCTAGACCCAGCTCTCTCTTTCTTCCTTTCTTTTTTATTTAAATTAGAAACAAGCTTATTTTACATGTCAATCCCAGTTCCCTCTCCCTCCCCATAAATTTTTTTTTGTTTGTTTCTCGAGACAAGGTATCTCTTGTGTAGCTTTGGAGGCTGTCCTGGAACTCTGTAGACCAGGCTGGCTTTGAACTCACAGAGACCTGCCTGCCTCTGCCTCCCAAGTTCTGGGATTAAAGCCACCAATGCCCACTCCAGCTCTCTTTCTTTTACAGTCTGCACATTCCTGTGATGGTAAGAATAGGCAGGCTATAGGCAATCACCTGATAAAAGACCCTGATTTCCTGGCTTTTAGTGTTCCTGTTGCTTAATATTACAGTGCTATCCCTCCACTCCCATGGAAAGGTATCTTCTCTGAGGGGCAATCAGGGTCCTGTCACCAGCTCATACCCTGTAACACAGCCAGGAAACCAGGGCAAGCTCTACAGAGCATTTAGTGGCAGCCTGAGGAACAATATATACTTCAAGGTGTCATCTGAGTATAAAAAGCACTTCCTAACAGTGTTCACAACTATAATAGCAGGCAGGCACTAAACTAACTAGGGACCACCAAATTGGCAGGTATTCACCATTGGAGACAGGATGCTGATCTGTGTTTTTTTTTTTTATTATTATTATTTTTATTTTTCAAGACAGGTTTCTTTGTATAGCCTTGGTAGTCCTGGGACTAGCTCTGTAGATCAGGTTGGTCTCAAAACTCACAGAGATCTACCTGCCTCTGCCTCCTGTGAGTTCCTGGAACAAAGCGAGTTCCAGGACATGTTCCAAAGCTACAGAGAAATCCTGTCTAGAAAAACCAAAAAGAATAGCTACCTCTTGGGGTCCTGTGAAGACATAGCTGGCCTATGAAAAATAGAGAGGGCCAGAGAGAGCGTAGGAATTAAGTGCATTTGTTGCTCTTACAGAGAATCCAGCTTCCATTCTCAGAACCCACATGATGGCTCATAGCCATCTTTAAGTCCAAAGGCATTCAATGGCCTCTTCTGAACTCCAGGGGAACACAAGCAAGTAGTGCACAGACACATCTGCAGTCAAAATATGTACATATGTAAAATAAAATGAATAAACCTAACTCAGAAAAGAAAGGAAAAATAGGGAAACCTAGGAGTGGTGCATACATGCAGTCCCAACACTCAAAAGCCTACGTCAGAAAAAAAAAAAAGCCTACGTCAGGAGGATTACAAGTTTGAGGGCAGAATAGAAGGATGTGCCTAAAAAAAATAGTAATAATAAAACAATTCTTTTTAAAACACAGAAAAGAGGGCTGGGTTGGGAATTAGCTCAGTGATCAGCACTTGTAAGAGGCTCTAAATTAAATCCCCATAATCTGGAAAAATTCAGAAAAAGAAAAGCAAGTAGGAGATCTCCATCTGACCCAGAGTGGGGGGTGCAGTGAATCGTAAGAGAACACAGCGGGTCCTGTGGCTCTCCGGGGTCTAGAACACTACTCATTCCTCACCTCTGAGGCAGCTAATATCCTTGTGGATGGGTGCCAACCACTGTCAATCATTAGACAAGCGTCCAATAAACAAGACTGAAAACCCCAAGGAAACGTTTGAGAATATGGGGAGCCTCCTCTACTGGGCCTAGCAGAAACTCCACCACAAGTGTTCTTTGAATGAAAGAAAATAAAAGAACCATGGTTACTTCCATCCCAAGCAGGACTGGAGGAAATTCCAGAGTGGCCTCTACACATACACACACACTCACTCACTCAATTGCCAGCATCCAAACAATCCACCTTCTAGGCCCAGCCCATGACCCTGGGCCCTTGTACAGCTGGGACCATCAGCTACAACTCTCTTGGTCTTTGTAAGGTAAGCTGCCCATTTACTCACTCCTTATTCGATACAAAGAGGCCATTTGATAGATAGGTCATCCTTACACTGTAGTTGGCAACAGCCTGTTCACCCCAAGCTCAGCCAGGAGAGAATGACAGAAAAGAAAAACTGAGTGGTTAGTTCTAAATAGGACTTCTCTTCTCCTTGTTGTATTCCCCAAGTCCACAAGTCTGTGGCCTGCACCATGTCCCCTCAGCCAATGTGCAGTTTTATATACACTTCCCATACCTTTTTCGGGTCCATGAGGAACTGACCTATCACTGCTGTAGCCTCTACAAGAGCAACATCTGTTCTCACCCAGACTACAAACTCTCAAGAGGGATACAGCAAGGGAAGTCAATGTGATCATGACCAAGAACCTCACCAAATCAGGGCCTGACAGACACCCACAATCCAACTTCCTTCTAGACCTAGGTAACACCAGGTCCAGGCCAGGTCCAGGGTTTCAACTGGGCCGAGGATGGCTTCGGGTGATAGCTACCTATCCTCAGCAGACACCAAAAGTGTGTGTGGACAACTGTGTTTTTGGCCAAGCAGTCAGGTAGTTCTCACAGAAGGCAAAAATAAAAGAACATCAAGCAAGGACATCCATACAGTTTTTGCGCTCAATGCCAGAGGCTAGGCAGAGGCCACAACAGTGTCCACTTGACCCTAAGAGCTCAGTTATCAAATCCACACAGGGATCCAGTACTGAAGAGGCTGCACCTGAGAGTCCTGTCAATGACAAAAAGAGTAATTTGATCCCCAGCCCCAGAGTCTCAGACGTAAGCATCAGCAGGGGGCTCGGCTCAGCTCAGCTCAGCTCAGCTCCAAGGCCTAAGGACAAGAGCGAGGGGATTGCCAGGACAAACAAGCCCCCTTGCCAGCAACCACAAGCTTTAAGGAAGTCTTAAGCCTTAAAGTGAAAGCAAAAAAGGTACCCTGTGGATCCTGCACTCTTGGACCAGAACTGCTTTTGAAGAGGAAGGTCCTGCACAGAAGCCTGGAGGCGAGCACAAGAGAGGACCAAGAGCATACTTGGTTCCAGGTGGGGGCCCAGCAGGTGCAGAATGAAGCGGACCTTGGACACCTGAACAAGAGAAGACCTGCGTACTTCTACCTCCAGGGTCGCCTGGGCATAGGGAACAAGCGCTTAGGCCCTCACACAGACTCTCGCCTCCCCTAGGCGGAGAGCACAGGATGGGACAGATGCGGAAGGACTGGGCCACCGAGCTGCCTGCCCCGCCCTAGTCTGCTAGCACAGCCGGACCCTGGCGCCCGCGGTTCCGTCGTAACCCAGGGCTCCCGGGAGACCGAGAACCCAGTCTCAGAGCCCACTGACCACGCGGTTTTGGAGAGCCCCGCCCCCACCGCAGGTGAGAACGCGTCTACCCGTTTCCCCGAGGCGACCCCGCGCCCACCTCGGAAGGGCAGTGGCGCTCCCAGGCGCACGCGCACGACCCCAGCCAGTGGCTCCCCAGGACTGTAGACGACACGGTCCTGCCTCAGGCGAATCTCGAAGAGCTGCACCCTCCCCATCCCGCGGTGTCCCGCGCCGCGGTCTGACGCCTGCTAGGGCAGAGGCTTCGAGGCCCGCCCCGCCCCGCCCCGCCTCCCTTCCCTTCCCCCCCTCCCCGACAGAGGACACGCCCAGGCCGCAGGATCCGCCTGGGTCGGAGAACTAGCGGGTGCCCCAAGACCCACCCTTTACCCAAGTACCCGCCCCTTTCCAGAGGCCGGCCTTCCCCAGGGCTGGTCCCAGACTAGAGGACACGCCCACGGGTGGGGACACGCCCCCACACGACCCGCCCCTTTCCCTAGCCTTGCCCTTGAACCTGCCCACACCTGCTCGCAACAGCTCAGTCCTAGTCCCAGACCAGCGGGATTGGCTACCAAATGTGACAGCCCATGCGCTTTGGGCTTAGACCCTCTCCGGATTCTAGCGACCTCTGCCGGTCAGGGGTGAGGTCTGCTCACCTGTCGGCGAGAGCGGATCTCCCGGCACCCATTTTCAACGCTTGGTGGTCACGAGGGGTGCTTGGCTCTCAGGCTGGGTCCCCAGCAATGTTCCGCGGCCATCGTGCTTTGTGCACTGCAACCTGCACCGCACCGTGTTTCCTGGGGTGTGAGTAGAGGCCCAGAAAACAGGTGCTGAACAGCACAGGCTTGGATGGAGCAGCAGGCGCTCAGGGCAGAAGCAAGAGACCCCTGCCGCGCTTGGGCCTGGAGTGAGTGAAGCTGCCTAGACACAGATTTTTTTTTTCAAAACAGGGTTTCTCTGTATTGTTTTAGAGGCTGTCCTGGAACTAGCTCTGTAGACCAGGCTGGCCTCGAACTCACAGAGATCCACCTGCCTCTGCCTCCCGAGTGCTGGGATTAAAGGTGTGCGCCCCCAACGCCCGACTTTTTTTTTTTTTTGATTACTGAATCACATTTTTTAAAAAGGTCTGGGTGTTGGTTGTGAACTGGGGAACGGGTCTAAAACTCTTATGTTCACAATTTACTGTTCTATTAAGCCAATTTAAGCAACCCTGTTTTTCAGTTTGGTAGTGAAATAAATTATATGAGATGTGGCTCAGTGGTACAGCACTCGCCTGGCTGAAGCAAGGCTCTGGTCCCCTAAACTACAAACATATATATAGCACTCTCTATTGCATAGTGGTTCCCCATCGTAGACTGATGTGAGTGTCTCAAGGCTATTTCTAATGTGGGGCTAATATCGTTAAGTGCAACAAATGCATTCTCAACTTACAGTATTTTCTACTATTCACTTTGTGATGGGTTTATCATAATGTAACTAACCCCTGGACTGGAGAGATGGCTCAGAGGTTAAGAGCACTGCTTACTCTTCAGAGGCCCTGAGTTCAATTCCCAGCAACCACATGGTGGCTCACAACCATCCTATAGTAAGATCTGGTGCCCTCTTCTGGCGAGCTGACATATGTATAGCATAACACTGTGTACATAATAAATAAATCTTTAAAAAAATGTGGGCTGGAGAGATGGCTCAGAGGTTAAGAGCACTGGCTGCTATTCCAGGGGTCCTGAGTTCAATTCCCAGCAACCACATGGTAGCTCACAACCATCTACAATTCAATCTGGTGACCT